AGAACCTCGTGTTTTTAGTAGGTTAAATTAAATAATTTCTAAAATGTCATGTGATTGACTGTATCCTTCCTTATCCATAAAAAGATGTAACGTTAGATAAAACTGTAAAGAAAAAACATAATTTTGGGCTACTAGAGGTTTCAAAATATCTCAATAGTAGTTAAATAGCAAAATTATCCATTACTTTTATCATGTTCTGTCTGTTGGTGGTAGGAACCTCATGCCAGGTGTTAGACCGGTGATGCCTGGGTTCAGCAACCTCGATACTTGAATTCCGGCTTGGAAAGAATTCAGAGCCCAGACTCCAACTGTAAGAGAACATCTATTTGGAAAATCACAGAGATAGAAGAAGTAATCTGTGGAAGAAATGGGCTGAGGAAACAAGTTATAGAGGCAAAGGAAGGGCCCTTGGAGCTTAGAAGTGAGGAAGGTCAAGGTGACTCCCCTGGGGGTCGGGGAGGGAGAAGGGGGAAGGCCAGGTGAACTCCCAGGAGGTAGAGCCAGCTGGATTCTCTGTCCTAAGGGTTTTAAGTATGGAGATTTTAGGGGAGGTCCCAGGGGCCCCCCTTACATATTTCTCCTAAAAGTTTACATCTCCTCTTTTCCCCAAATCTTCACCATTGAGAGCTCCTGAGAATGTGTGTTGGGTGGAATATAAAAGGAGGTTGAAAACCGCTGAACCAGAGAATGTTCTCTTTATTGAAATAAATAGTGAGGCTGCGTTTACAACATATGAAACATATCTAGTTATTTAGAAGAGCCTGGTGGTTCCCCTCACATTTTCTTGAGGCCTGCCCACTATTGATGTTGCTCTGAGTCAAGGTACCTAGACAGGGCTATCTCTAGTCCCAAAGGCACCTTCATGTGGATTATTAAAAGGCACCCCTGCCATTTGCCGGAAAGTTGTGGTCATATGCTGGTTTTGTTAGAGGACGCTTTACTCTGATGCTCTGACAGACGTTTGTCAGAATAAATATACAAACTCTTTATATTCATTGCAGCCCCCTGGACTTGGTACCATGGCGCAGGGCACTGCCTGCACAGTCACATGGGGCATTTGCAAGTAGGGAAGGAAAAATAAGAAATCGCCATGGCAACATTTGTCTGTACCATGAAAACGAGAAGCCAGGCTCATTGCAGTGACCCCCCAAGTTCCTGCTCAGCAAGCTGGCGCGTGGAGCGCTCTGGAGGTGGCGCGGGGCGGGGAGGTGCTTTCATTGATGGCCTCCGCTCCTGAGAACGAGAGCTTGGCTATTGCCCTTTACGTGTCTTCAGTTAGAAAGGGCCTGTGCATTCCAACTACTTAGCTCAACGGAAAAGATTCTCTGTTTACAGAGAAAACACAAAGCTTGTTTCTTCCTCATGATTAAGCAGACGGAGCACGCTTAGCAGGACTTTTCCACTTAGGTGTCCAAGTTAAGACTATCAGTGACTTTTGTTTGAAATCTAAACTCTTTAGAAACATTTTGTAGGAAAAACGCCTCGCAGGCCCTCTCAAAAAGAATCAAATAAATAGTTTGGGGGTTTCCATCTTGGAATTGGGGTGTTTATTTAAGAAACTCTAATAAAGCCCTCTTTCAAGCCCAGGAAAATTACAGGCGGAATCGAGTGGTGACCAAGGATTCAGGAAATAGCTATTGATTTGTGAGAGAGAGAGGGGTAGAAAGGGCCAGGGAAGGCAGCGACTTGAGGAGAGACTTTGCGAATGGTTCTTATTTCCTCCGGCTTTGGGAAAGCGTCCGCCCGCGGCAGTTCCAAACATGCCCACTCCCAGGTTAGCCCACCTAGGCAGGAGGCAGCGCCGGGGCGCCTGGGCCTGGGCTCCTCTGAGCAAAGGCCTGAGAGTGTTGGGGCTGACACACTGGCTAGAAGCTTAGTGAAAAGAGATTTTTCCATGAGAGCAGGCAGGGCAATAAGGGAAAGTCCAAAGCCTCCTGCCCAAGGGGTTGGGCAGAACCCAGGGCAGAACGGGAGGAGGAGAGCTGGCAGGGGCGATCCTGAGCGCGGGGAAATGTGCCGCGCAGAAGATCCCACGTGGGTGCCAGAGACGGAGCCTTTCAGAGCCAAGCAGGGACCCGGCCCGGAGAGAGCTAAACTAGTTTGGAAACCAACCTGCCTTCTGATTTACTTTTCATAACCTCCATGGGCAAGAAATGAGAACACAGTGAGGGAAACGTAGTGTCAGAGGAGTCCGAGGAGTGCGCAGTGCTACCTTATGAAAGACAGCCGAAAGCTCCAGACAGAGAAGCGGGGGCCATGTGCACATTTATTCCGAGCAAAGTGACAAAGCTGGACCGGCACCTGGAAGTAAATATAGAAGCAGAATCGTTCTGAAGTAGCCACATTGGAGATCAAAGGCTCTGAGCCATTTAGAAGAAAAAGGTAGCTTAGCCCAGTGCCGCTGGTGACGTTTCACAAACACGATCTGCCTTATGCTCCTAATTACTCTATAGACATAAAACCCTAAGTCCATTTTGGTTGTCTAATAAGTGAACACTCTCAGAACTCCTTAGTTGCTTGTTTGCCGTGTTTTTTATCCCAGTGAAATAATGGTGAGAGATATATGTATAATGTGTCCTTAGTGTCGCTTAGGTTGACTCAGCAATGATATAAACCCTGTGGCAGTTTAGGTAGATCCATAATCGATTGCACTTTAGTTATTGTTGTGGTTAATGGGTGGCTTAGTTGACCATCAGCTGCACACTCAGGGAGGTAGAAAAGGAACTTCGCATGGAGGCGACAGGCTATTAAGATGTGACCTTGCCGGTTAGATGTGGCTCAAGAGTGACTCCAGTGACAACCAAGAAGATGAGTGACTTTCGCCTTTGGGCAGGGGGTGGAGCTGGGTGGAAAGGAAGCTGAAGGAACCAGATACCTCCTCCCCATGTGCCTACCTTGAAGGGTTATGAAAGATGAAACCAGTGGCCCTGAGCCTTGGCTGAACATGAGAATCACCTGGAGCTTTTACAAATTCTGACACAGACCACGCCGCAGGACAATCAAATCAGAATCTCTGAGGAGGGGACCTGGCACCAGTGTTTGTTGTGCCTTAAGTTCCACAGGCTGTTCCCGAGTGCAGCCCAGGTGAGCAGACCTGGGCGACATCCGACGCCGCAGGTGCCCCTCACGCTTGTGGGCCCAGTGAGTGTGAGCACCCACCCTCCTCTTTGAAGCATGTCCTGCCACCCGCCTCTCCCTTTTCTGAACTTGCACAGAATAGTACTATATCTGTCCGGGTCTTACCACATGTAGCAGAGGTGACTGTGCCTCAGAGCTGAGAATTCCCTTTATCTTCATGTTGAAAAAGAGGGAACTCTCTTCTCACCTTTTTTGGTGTGTGTGCTAGCTCATCAATTATTTCATACGTTTATCTTCCTTCCAATATTACTTACCTTCGTTCACCTTTCAGTGCCAGAAAGATTTCTAACTTCTATGTCCCTAGAGTTTGAATTTAGCCAAGTCTTTTTACTCACTTCAGAAGGATCAGGGTGAAAATAAAATTTAATGAGTAAAGGGGGCTCCTAAAAATAGAACACACTTCATCCACTTCAGTTAAAAATGCCTTCATGTTTTCCAAGCATTTTTTAACTCTTAAGCCTTTTTAATAAGCTTACTTATGAGTCTTGTTGAAAAATAAATAAAATATACTTGTTTTCATTAAGGGAAGAGATCTTTTTCCATCTTAGTCGGTAATGTTGAAGCAAACTAAAAGGAGTCCAAAACTTGGCAAAGGGCTACCTAATTAGTGACATATTGGTCACAGATGTGCTGGGAGAGCTATACTTTCTTCCTGTGATTAGTGTTTTAAGTGCCCACAAATTACATCTGAAAGTCAGATAACCTCCTTATAAAAGGGAAGGGTGAAAATTATGGTATTTGTAAAACTTTTATTTTTAAGGTATTGTAGGTGTGTTTTTATAAACAGATGAGTGACAAATATTTATTCGCAAATTATACTTTTAGAGACGTAGTGCCAGATGATACCAACCTTTACTTATTAACCTTCATTCCAAATGTTCAAGCAAGTGCAATCCTTGTAAATTATAAGATTTCCTTCCCTCAACAATTCTTAAGAAAGTCCTCAAGACAAGACTCAAGAGGCTGGCGGGAACTCTCTCTAGTAACCTCATTGCTCGAATCTGTAGGCCTCTGAAGCGGAGAATGAGGAGCTTGGACAAGTTGTGACCAGTCACTGAAAGTGCCACAGGACTTTGAGAGTATGGACAAGCCCACCCCGGGAACCGGGCTAGGATGCGCCTGGGAGGACATGGCGTTGACACTGGGATGCCCGTTAAGGCCGTTGTAATAGATGCAAGTAATTCTAGCCCCAAGGCTCTGACTAAGGATGTAATGGAAGGAAAAGGGATGTTGTAAAAGAAACAGGATCCAGAAACACATCTTATGGACATAAAAATAATAATGACAAACCAAAACTTTTATAAGACTTCTTGAGATTTTTTTATTCACGTTGCTAAGAAAACTAGACAAGGCAATGACCCCTAGAGGGGTGACAGATGCCTCGTTTTTCATCATGTTTAAGTTGCTGAGCTAACCAATTTCTGATGTCCTATAAATTGAAAGTGATATGAAATTGAACAAAAGGGGGAAAGGAGTTGAAAACTTACCTATGTAAGAAACTGAATTATGACACAGGTGGCCAAGTTTCCTGACACATAGGTAGAAGGTCATCTATTTGTATTTTTAGTTCGGTGATAATATGCATCTTAAGATGATTTAGTGATCTGATGACTGCAGAGACAGGTGGCTTTAAATTGGGAGCTTGTGACACATTTTGCAGCCCCAAAGCTACTTGATGTGCTGTCAAGGTGATGTCGGTGTTTGATGCTAGTCGAGTACTGTCTGCTGTCTCGTGTGTTATTTGATTTTATAAGTTCAAGACATCATACTATACAGCTTTTAAAAACTAAACCTGTAAAAAAAGACTTCAAGTTGTTTCCATTCTCAAAGTGCCTTGCTCCGGTTGCTTCCCATTTCCCTAGGAAGGTGACAATACTGGAGGACCCTGATCAGAACATTCACCTGAAAAACCTGTCTCGTCATCAGGCGACCACGGAGGAAGAAGCTCTGAATCTGCTCTTCTTAGGAGACACCAACAGAATGATTGCGGAGGTAAGAACCTGTTCCCTGCAAGCTGGATTCGCAGGAGATATAGTGAAATTCTAGGGACAGCGACGACCTTAGAGATGGTCTCCTCTAACTCTCACGTTACAGAGCAGGAAACCCAGAGCCAGAGAAGTGAGAAGGCTTTCCCCAGATCTCAGCCGGTTAATGGGCAGGAACTAACATCTAGACTCTTAATTTTTATGTTTTTCAATTTTATACAAATTGGTTTGCAGCTAATGAATGACAACTCATTAAATGTCTTAATTATATGAATTTTTTTTGCATAATTTTGAAATTTAAAAATACACAATCCATTCTTCCTAATCTCAAATTATCCATGTGTTGGCATTTGTTTCTATATCCATATGTTTCCATGCATTCAGCGGATGGTTATTTATAAAGCATTTAGAGTAATGCAGGGAACACAGGGAGTGTCCTCTGCGTTGGCAGCTGTTGTTGGCAGATCTGGGAACCCTGCCACTGTGTGCAATATGAGTACGTTTCGCTGTAATATTTGGGACATACTTATATTATTTGTTGTTCATCTGACCTTCAGACCTAACTGGGCACCTGTATTTTACCTGGGAACCCAAGGCAGGGGCCAGGATTGCCCCGGCTTGGTCAGGAGACGCTGACCTCAGCCAGCTGCTGGCTGGAGATGGAGGGTCATGAAGCTGTCATCCCGCGACACTGCGGGGAGAGGAACGGAGCAGCGGCGGTGGTGATGGTGGTGGTGCGGGAACAGCTCCCCAAATGTGCAGCTTACTGGTAGCCTTGGCAGTGTCCTTCTCCAGCCGTGCTCCCGGATTCTCTGTCTCTGATAACAAGCAGTGTGGAGGATAATAGGCTGGGAGGCTAAGCATGCTGAGAAAGTCTACCAACTGCCCTTTTCCTGCCCATTTCCACTCTCTGGAAGCACTACCTTAGGTCCAAGATAGATAAATGGAAACCAAATTCAGATACTGAAAAATACGGTGTTGACATGTGTTTGGGGATTGGGCCCTTTTGTTGTTGGTGGTGGTGGTGTTTTTTATGGTTCTGCATCAGTACTTTTCAGTAGACTAACTTCTATAAATTGAGCTTATACACCACATATAATAACGGACCCTTAAACTATTACTTTCATTTCAGGAGACCTTTACATAGTTTTTAATTTCAGAATATCTTGTTTGGCTGTACAAAATTGGCATTTGTGTTTTGCTTCAACATGTTGCCCGCGTGGTCATCTGGGGGGGTCTTATTTGTCACAATAATTACAGATTAAGGAATAAAGGCAGATTCAGAATTAAGGAGTATGGTGATGGAAGATTTAGTATGCCCCGTTAAAAATCCTGCTCCTTCACACAGTTTAAGAAACACAGAATTTAGATGGGTCCTGCCCAGCAGTGAAATGTGGAAAGAGAAGAAATACCATTGGAAAACCATGGAGAACCTACCCCTGCCCCAGTGCCAACCCTCCTCCCGAGGCGACTCCCCCGAAAGATGGCTTTGCCTGTCCTCACAACCGCGTCCCCTCGTCTGAAATGGGTTGTTGAGGCTCCTGGCCCTTAAATACCGTGACCTCTATTAGCTTAAAAGCGTGGCCATTGCTCTCTAAGTTTGTTAACTTTAGCTGACGACAACTTTTCAAAGTATTACAAAGTTTTGAGGACCTCAGACTTCCCTTGTGCCAGCTTGTCTCATGTTCCACCGCCTTACAAAAGCGCAGCAGTCTTTCCCTGTTACATACTGAGGGGTATCTAATGACACCGTTATTAATAAGCTGAAGCCTGAAGAAGTCCAATGCAAATAGTGCTGGTGTGCATTGTGTTTCTTAATTTATTCAGCTTTCCAGTGGGAAGCCTAAGTGCTTTAAACCAAATCTAATAGGTTTTGGATGTTTCTGGGCCTGTTTTCAGTTTTCCTTTGGTAAGAATAGCTACCAGGTTATACTGAGAATCTGTTTAATAGACTTGACATTGTGGCAGATACTATATATTTATATATTATTTCAGATTCTTAGTTACAGAGGAAGCAGAGGCTCAAAGTGTCAGAACACTTGTCCAGCATCACATGACTGGTAGGTGGCAGAGCCAGGGTTCGGCTCCAGGCCTGACTGGTCCAGAGCTTGTGTTCTTTCCTTCCGCCACCTCCCACAAGTGCAGCAACCACACTGACATGTGTCAGAGTTTTCGAGTGAGGACAATTTTTTTTTTAAAAAGAAGGATAGCAAGTACTTAGCACTTCAGTTTAATCTCTTGAATTCATTGAAAGCAAATACATAAAAATATAAATGAAAAATAACTGTCAATCCCTGGAGATCGTTTATTATTCAGTCTCTAAAAAGGCATGTTTTAGATTACAACCTAGCTGTCAGAATGTAATTTGTCAGCACCGAGCAAGTTACCAGGATAGAAAGAACGCGCTATTATTTTTTTCAAAAATAAGCTTCCCAAATTCCCATTTACACAGAGACATCCAGAAGTTGTCATGGTAACCAGCAAACATTTGCAAAACAAAGTCTGCAAATGTGGGACACAAGTGGAGTGCTTTTTCCTTGCGCGGTCTCGCTCAAGCCAGCATTTTAAGGAAAAGTTATCCAGATTAGCTTCTTCCTCTCTGCGTATCCAGAGCTCTTAAATAATTTCTGTAAATCTACCAACGTTTTGAATAAGACCTGATTATATTCTGAGGGTAAATTTTTTTTTAAAGTTGAATTGCCGTGCCAAAGAGAATAAATATATTGAGAGCTGAACTGTGTGTGACCCAGTGTCAAAGCCCACGAGCAGCAAGTATGACTTTGTTATCGGAGAAATTGGGGTGTCCTCTCCCCCACGGGGTGCTGGGGGCGGGGTCCTTACAATATCTCAAGGAAAAGAGTTTTCTGAGACTCACACGGGAGGATAAGTGATTTCTATTTGTGTGGAATTACATCCCTGCGTTTCCACAGCCCCGTTCCAGTCTTTCTAGAAGAGTAGCTGGGGTTTCAGGAAAGCTGAAAGCAAAGCCAGTGCCAGGTGTCCCTTCGGTGATGCGGCCGGGTCCCCCTTAGCACCAGGCTCCCTGCAGCCTCAGCCCAGCACTGCCAGGAGGCAGGAGCGAGCCAGCCCGCAGGTCAGGAGCGTGACCCTGTTCAGGGGGTTCAATAGCCCAAATTTTGGACCCTTGCAGTGGCCACACCCATTCTGGCCAATGACCTATCCACCCCCAGGTGTGACTGACAAGCAAGTACCTTCTCCACGGCAGCCCTACTTACTGTGCCGCGCCTGTCCCCCCTGCCGGTCCCTTCCCCCAGGATCTGCAGGGAACAGCCCACGGTCCTCTGCCGAGTGCAGAGCTGCAGCTTTCTGGCAAAGCTGCCCAAGTGACATGCATATAATGTTTGGTGTTATTAATAACTAGGCTAATTACAATGGCATCCACTTGAGACTTTTTGTCTTACAGTTAAATGTTTCTATCAATTAATCAAGGCTAATTGAACAAGAGAGCCTTTGCTTGATTGTCAAGCACGGTTCCGTGGCTGGCCCCTTCGCTCGGCCCCGCCCGTGATCATGGCAGTCCGCGCCCAGGTATGGTCAGGGGACAGCCTGCGGTCGAGTGTCCGGTAGGAATCAAAAGACAGTTTCTGGCATCCCATTTTGGATCTGTGCGTTCAGGATCTCTGCAGCGGAGCCCAGGAGTGCATATTTTAGCACTTAAATGTGCTCAGGCTAAAGTTGGGGACAGTTTGGGGTTTTCCATTAAGAAGCTGTTGAAACCCACTCCCAGAGAAGTTTGTGAGCAGGTCTATGTTCTGCATCCTTGCTAGCACCACTAAATTTGAGAATTTGGCCATATATATATATACATATATATATATGGCCAAATTCTCAAAACTATATATATATAGTTTTAATTTGTGTTTTTGATTACCTAATTGTTTTAATTCCTTTTTTACCGCCTGCATTTGTATCTTTGTTTATGCCTCCTATCTGCTTTCCCCCCGGCATGTTGAGTAGGTCTGGTTGACACGCTGACTTTATGAGGACCCGGATTGGGTCTTGTCCACCCTGTAACCATCGCTCCTAGGAACAGAGTCCGATACGTAGCAGCGCTCAGTAAATAATTATTGAAAATTATTGAATGAATGAACATTAAGGATGATAATTTTTTGTCTTTGTCATATATTTAGCAAATACTTTCCCCATCTTATAAATTTATTTTAGTTTTATTTTCTTCATCTGGTCAAATCAGTCTTTTCATTTTGGGGTTTCTGCTTTGGGTATCATGCTTAGACATGCAGCAGTTCACTGAGGAATGATTCCACTTGTTAGAAAGTGTTTTGTTATTTTGAGTTGAGATGTGGTGCCCCGTTGCATCCACCCCATTGTTCCCACCTTGACCTGGGACATGGAAGGGGATGGTCATCGTCAGGTAGGAGTGAATCTTATCAGAAGTTTCTGGAACATGAGGATTTTACCTGAATCTTGAAAAACAAAACAAAACTATCCTAAGTTAACAAAATCAAGGTTCATTTTGAATCCTCTCTCTAGAAGTAGCCTCCATTGATAAAAGTGCCATTTAAATGTCCATTTTAAGACGCAATAATGTTGCTCGGAGTGGATCACGAGGCTAACTCCAGCCTCTTATACAAGCCGCTGTGGAGGAGAGGAGAGTGTCTGGGGTCCTTCCACCGAAACTTCACAGTAGTGTCTGTTGTGGGTTAAACTGTGTCTCCCTCCCCACCCCCTGCCCCAGCTCATATGCTGAAGTCCTAACCCTGTGCTTCAGAATCTGGCCTTGTTGAGAGACGGGGTCTTGACAGAGGTTATCGAGCTAAAATGAGGTCGTTAGGGTGACTGCTGAACAATACAACTGTGTCCTTGTTAAATGGGGAACCTTAGAGACAGACACTTACACGGGGCAATGCCACGTGAACAGGAAATGGGCATCCAGGAGGAGAGGGGCCCGGGCGGCTCCTTCCCTCAGTCCTCAGAACAAACAAGCAACCTGCCGACACCTCCTTTTTGGACTCCAGTCTTCAGAAC